CATACTACTTTAAGACGTACCCCTTCTAAATATCATGGAATTCAAGGAAATCAAGAAATTCAAAAAGTCTAATGAAAATAAGTGTATTGTAAAAAATCAAACGTGGTTTATATTTCCCAATAGTATTGCGCGAGTATTTTACGGTGTCTAGGTGAATTGTTTAGGATTTAGATGACTTTTGAAGGAATGCACTTCAAAGTTGTAGTAGATATGTAGAATTTGAATGAAAAAGTGTTTTCCTGGAGGTTTTATAGCGAGCGGCTTTCAATATGCTGCTGTTTTGGAACTGTCTGATTTTGAATGTGGATGAAGTTTTGAGGGTGTGGGTGTGGCGTGTGGGTGGGTGTGGGTGTGGGTGTGGGTGTGGGTGTGGGTGTGGGTGTCGGTGTGGGTGTGGGTGTGGGTGTGGGTGTGGGTGTGGGTGTAGGTGTGGGTGTGGGTGTGGGTGTGGGTGCGGGTGTTGGTGTGGGTGTGGATTTGAGTAATGTTGTCCAACAGTTACACCCACCCACACCCACACCCACACCCTTCAATCAAACCCTCATCCATCATCCGCTGCAAATCACCTCTAGAATTTCAAGAGTCCTCAACTTCCTCAACTAGTTCATTTTCCAAATGTTCTACCACAACTAGCTCCTCCATGACCCGCTATACACATCGCTCTCCATCTCTTCGGCGAAATCCACTTCCTAGCCACTCCTAGCGGCAAATGTCGTTTTCACATAATATCTTCCGTTTACTTCACTCTATTCTCCGCTACACGAGTTAGCTGCAAAACACCCTGACTCCCTGTTACTGCTTCGACTCACTCAATTTCCTTCATCTCCTTCCATTTCCCGAAATTCCTTGAATCTTCGTAACTCCAAGGTGGATCACACCCATCTTCCGCATTAGTCCTATGTGTCTTGAATATCTTCGATATACTTCACCTCCCCTAAGTTGCTTCATTTTCTTCCAATTCTCAAATTTCCTTGATTTTCCATCAGTCCATGATGATTCACCACTCATACGCCTTACTACCACTATGTCTATTGAATTCCTCCAATTCCTCTGAATTGCTTGATTTACTAGAATTTCCTAAATCTCATTGAATTTCCATAATTCCACCGAGCATCATACCCTATATCCGTTCCATTTATATACCCAATGAATTCCTCGAATGCCCTTGAATTGCCCTGAGTTGCTTGTTTTGCTTGAATTTCCGAAATTTCCTTGAATTTCCATAATTCCATCGTGTATCACACCCTACACTCTAAAAAAAACCGCTCTTTCACCGAACCCCTGAAAAAGGTTCCGGAGATTTCTAAAAGCGTCCAAAAGTGCCCAAAGTCTCGAAAAGAGGATAAAAAAATCTACGAAACCTTTATAGATTCTTACCGTGTACCCACGATAAGAACCTTTTCCTGCCAAACCTCTTTTTAAGTTCCCTGTAGCAGAAAAAGCTTTCCTAGGAAAATACGAAACCTTTAGAGTTTCATATTAAACCCTAACAGTTTCATACTAAACCCTCATGATTTCCTCGAGTTTAATACGAAACACTAAAGGTTTCATATTTTCTTACGAAACCTATTTCTGCTGTACGGAACTTAAAAAAAGGTTTCACAGGAAAACATTCTTATCCTGGGTACACCGTAAGAACCTAAAAGGTTTTGTAGATTTTTTTACCCTCTTTACCAGACTTTGGACACCTTCGGATGCTTTTAGAAATCTCCGCAACCTTTTCAGGGGTTCGGTAAAAAACCGTTTTTTTT